TAAAATGCATCTTTTGATTTAATAAGGAAAACTTTTTAGTTTAAAGCAATTTGATCTACTGAAAGGATCAAATAAATAAATTTGATTTTATCACAAAAGAATGTTGACTAAAAAAAAGCTTTAAATTATAACTAGCTGCAGTCATGTGCTGCATAATGAAATTGTGGTCAATGATGGACCGCATATATGATGGTGGTCCCATCAGATTAGTACCATATACCCTAGGTGTGTAGGAGGCTATACCATCTAGGTTTGTGTAAGTACTGTCTAGGATGCTCACACGATGGCGAAATCACCTAATGATGCATTTTTCAGAATGTATCCCTGTCGTTAAGTGACGCGTGACTGTGTAATCTTCTAAACAACTCTTTGCCAGCAGTGATAACTCTGTGTTACTGAAGAAGAAATATATCTTTTAAGAGGTTAAATGATTGTCCAAAGGTACGCAGCTAAGATGGGTCTTACGACTCCAGTGTTCTTTTCTCTGTAGCAGAGTTGTTTGGTAGCAGAATGTGCCAGCTTCCTCACGTAATTTCCCTTGGCACAGTGTCAATAGTATATTTCTTTCTAAGTAATCTGAGATTACTGTATCGTAGGAGTTGTCTCAAAATGCTATGTTTAGCAAAGGCACATAATTTTTATTAGTAATACTTTTTAATGTTTTTAAATGATACTTCGGAAAGTACTTTTTAAGACATTATTTTAAGATGGAAAGACAATTAAAATTCATTATTCTCTTTCATTGCAGTTAATAGTATTTAACGCCAGTAGTTTTAAATGAAAGCCAAAAATTCATAAACTATCTTTAGACATTTTAGTTAGGCTTATTTTGTAAAGGATTTGGAGAAATTATAAAATTAGGTTTTGTCTTAAAGAAATAGATTGGAATGAAATAATTATCTTGAATATTATAAAACTTGACAGTACTTCAGCTTTGTTGAGAAATATTTGAATCATGAAATACATGAGTTGGATTTTATATTTAAGGGGAATGATCTATTATGTAAAAAAGAGGTTATAAAACAGAATATATACTGTTACAAATATTATTTTAAAGAGTGTACTTTTTATGAATTTATAGTAGTATATAAATTTTAAAAACTCTGGAAGCTTATATACCAAATGGTATCAGTAGTTTTATATTATGTGTTTTCTAATTAAAAGAACATGTACTAATTAATTAGATAATAAACAGTAGAAATAACTTAAAAGTTAAGGGATTAAAACTATTCCTAATCTGTTACTAAGTTCAATGTATATGTTATATATTGTTTTAGATACTTATTTTTGTCCAAATGGAAAAGAAAATAAGGTAATGCTCTTTTTTATTCTTGGTCTTTTACATTTTAATGTACTT